CCACTTCCATCCAGAAGGACAAGGGGCAGCAGGTACATGGGAACACCACCCCCTGCAAGTTCACCCTCTGAGCCCCTCACTGTCCCCGACTCTCATGGCTTCAAGAGGGGCTTGCAAATGTGCCTGGGCCAGAAGAGACAGTGGTCACCAACTCCACCCTCTGGTCACCAGTGAGTGGTAGCTCATTTCAGTCCCATGCCAGCCCACCGTGCAGAAGGCATGGGTGGGCTGGGGGGCACCAACGATTGCCTGGAAGGAGGTGGAACCTTTTACAGAGACACTGGAAGAGTTCAGATGGATCAGGCTCCTTGAACAGGCTGGCACCATCTGAACCCTCCTGAACCCTGTCAATCAGGGAGGCCATTCATTGCCAAGTTGGGTGTCCTGTGCCCACCCAAGCATCTCCCATCACCACATCGTGGATGGTATGGGGGTGGGAGGAACGTAATATGGTGGCAGCGATGGTCCCAGCTGCCAATGGCTAGAGATTCGACCAGGTAGATTATAGGCCTCAGGCCTTCCCCACGCAACACTTTGTGGTATCTGGGTGACCAGGAGTTCCCAGCAGCCTCTGGGCAAAGGATACACTGCCTTGGGGAGGCCTTCAACTCATCGCTGGGTGGAGAGGTGCTGGTCATCTTCTTGGCGTTGGGAAACTGGGTGGTCAGCTTCAATCGAAAATCCTCGTAACGTTCGTACTCCTTCCCACGGTAAATAAACATTTTATTCTGCAGGGGAGCCGAGGCAGAACCGTTTGTAATGGCGGGCAGTGTAGAGGTAGCTTTACTCTGTATCTAACCCAATTCTGTCCCAATCCTGGGGGTGTTTGATATAGACAGTGTAGAGGGAGCTTTACTCTATATCTAACCCCGTGCTGTCTCTGTCCCTGGGAGTGTTTGATGGGGGATAGTGTAGAGGAAGCTTTACACTGTATCTAACCCCATGCTGTCCCTGTCCCTGAGAGTGTTTGATGGGGGAAACAGTGTAGAGGAAGCTTTACTCTGTATCTAACCCCGTGCTGTCCCTGGGAGTGTTTGATGGGGGGGGCGCGGGGGTACAGCGTAGAGACAGCTATCCCTCTATGTCTCTGCGGGGTGCTCCCTCCTTATCCCTCTCTCTCTTTCCCCATGGAGGGGGGTGGGGGGGGGGGTGGGTGGGGGAGTGTTGTCCATACTCACCCTCAGGAAGGACGGGAAGCCTTGGCCGTAATAACCGACGGCAAAATACTCCGGGAGGGGCCTCATGGCGTTCATGATGTTCTGGTAGAAGGTGGCCTGCTGTTTCTGCAGGAGGGAGGGGGGGTCACAACAAAAAAAGGGGGAAGTGAATCAGTTCGGGAGCAGGCGCCGCCGCGTACGCACGAAGTCGCCCCCCACCCCAGGGTGACGGGGTCCTTACCAGCAGGTGACTGAGCTCCTCATACTCAAAGACCTCCATCTCGTACATGGAGGCCAACTCTTTACAGAGTTTGATGGCATTCTCCCACATCTGTCAATGAGAGAGGGAAGAGGGGGGAGGAGTTAGACTCAGGCGAGATCGATAGCCACATCTTAAACCCAACCCTTAACCCCCGACAAACCCCCCC